GACTTTGTCGACTTAATACTTGTGTATACCTATTGCTGCTGCACATGGTCGCGTGTGTGGAGCGTAGCAGTCGCTTAGTGTGACGTGAACTGAGTGTAGCGATCGTGCAACTCAATATGCCTGCCCACAAAGATGTCGCCTTCAATGAAAAAGCAGAAGTTCATCACGCTGGAAGATAAGGCTGCCATTATCACTGAGGTGAAAAAGGGCATGAAGAAATTAAAGGAGCACTGACATCAAATTTCAAGATCGAGATGTGCCCATCATTCGGTCGCTTGGTATGCATAGGTCTTCTTGGCCAAATTCGAACGGCATCCGTCGCGTAGAAGTTATTTTAATTCGATGTCAAGCAGCGTAGAAAAACTAAGGTGAAAAAACGAAAAATAGACTGCACTGCGACATCGACACTAGTGCTACATGTTCGGTGTGATACATTCCCCAAATATCATCCCGAGTGACGATGCCCTAGTAGCGATGACGTGTACAATCAGGGTGTTCTTATCGTGGCGCCAACTGGCCCCAAAGTGCAGAAACGCACTCGCTCGTCCACGGCCGGGCTAGCGCGCGCAGGTGCAGTCTAGCCCGGCCGTGGCTCGTCACGTCTGATCTTCATCGCACCAGTTTGAATGATTAAAAGAATGGCGAAAGAAAATAGCATGATCAAACGTGTGCTTGTCAGTGAGCATGTCAGGGAATCGTTGCGAGTTGCAGTCATCTAGTTCGAAGCACGGAAAAAGCGCAATGAGGGTGTCTTTTCATATCACGTATGAGTTACACATCAACACGATCACAAGCTATCAAAAGTGGAAGAGCGTGCGAAGCACGGAAAAAGTGCAATGAGGGTGTCTTTTCATATCACGTATGAGTTACACATCAACACGATCACAAGCTATCAAAAGTGGAAGAGCGTGTAGTCAGATATCATCGCTAACAAGTAACATGCAGGTATCGTTGAATTTTAGTTCATCTGCAGACTTTGCGTCCACGTAAAAGTGGTAATAATACCGTGCCAACCGCGAGAGGCTGGATAGGTGGGGCCATCTGGAGGCGCAAAAAAGAAGCTGACGAGCGGGAAACGTATTCTATTTCTCCACTGATGCTCATTCGCAATAGCTGCATTGCATTGACCCCTCTTCGTATACCTGAATGCTTTGCACGCCAAAACACACCAATATAGCCAACTGAGACACATGAGCGAACATGGCTGAAGCGTGCATCCTCAGGCACCTCTGCAGTGCTGCTTGAAACGGCGTTCATTTCAGAATCACTGTTCTGCAAAAGGTCGATCGAAGCAAAACTTATTCGCGATGTGGCGAACCGCAGGGATTGCAAGCTTCAGACTATCGTATTGAACCCGAGTCGACACTTTGTACGGCGACGACAGCAATGCAGGTGACAAGGCATGACTGAATGTGTCCGCCTAGCAGAGGAAATGTTTGCGGAGCAGCTGAGCCTGACGTCACTCTTTTCTGTGGAGAAGTGGTCAGCTGTGGCGTGATCTGGAGGTGACCGCGAGGTAGCGCCACTGCTGATGCTCCCAGCGCTAAAGATGGCGGGATTGCCAGCCATTTTTGAATAGTGCTAGATCCCAGTAATATAAATCAATAAAAGTGATAGTTATTCATCCCTCAGTTGCGTTTTAGGTCGCGAATCGCCGCTATGGGGTCTATAGCTACTCGCTGACGCAAAAATCTTGGCATGAGTGAATTTGATGTCAGTGCTCCTTTAACATGGCCAACAAATTGGTGAGGCTAATATTGTGCATGAAGAAATGACTGATGAAGCCATCATCAGTAACGTCTCCCGTCAGAGAAAAGAATGACCTCGCAGCATACATTGAATGCCCTGGACACAATTCATTCAGTTTTTTGGCGAGCACGATGACGACGTGGCCATGGAGCCCTTTTTACAATGCGAGCCAAAAGCTATGATATCGCTGCAGGGAAAGGTGTGCCTTTCCTGCAGCGATTTGCCTCTATGTCCTTCTAAGGTGTGCCTAGGTAAGTTTCAAGCAACATTACTTTCTGCAGAGGGAATAACTAACAATTATGTGTCTTGATGAGATTTACACACCTAGGCTCCAACATTCCTCCTTTGGCACCTAGTGGTATGTAAATGCTGCCACCGATAGACACAAAAAGTTAAAATCTGACTTGCTTTGAAGCTGGTGAGCTCGCTAAATAAAGTAGTAACACAATACAATAGTCGACAACCATTTTTTGAAAAGCAGAGATGCATCAGTAAAATAATAAGAATATTCACAACATGCAACATAAATATAACAAACACACAATGAAGGGAAATAGTAGGGAGAAAAATACATAGGGCAGACGTGATATTGCTAAGTGTTAGATAATGGTAATTATCCCATCACATGATAGGCGTATAAAAATAATGACAGCCACACCAACTGGTACTTCAACATATTGCAAGGATGAAGGTCAATGTAAGTGCTGTATGAGCCAGTAGAGGGAAGCAGGAAAAAAAATAATAAAATAGTATCAAACGGCTGAAGTGGCAAAATAGTCCCTTAGATGATTACAAAATGCACTTTCTTTCAATTTGTAAGTGTCGACGTCCGGAAGAGCGCACCATAGGCCAAGGGTGCAACAGCCGAAACAGAATTTGCAGAAATTTTCGGAGCACTAAACTGCAAATGTGGAGCAGGTTACAAGAAGTAAAACATCTTTTTTTATCACAAAAGACCGAATTTGGAGCAAGAAGGCTTATATTTAGAAAAAAAAATTACGTTCAAGCCATTCAACATCACCTAAATCATGCAGCATAAACATGAGCACTGCTGTTTCAATAAAACTAGTATTTCGATCTACCCCACTGAGCAAACAATGATAAAGTCCACATTAGCTCTTGCAGCGTCTGTGAAATCCTTTGACAGACTCCGCGAATTAAAATTTAGATCAGCCAAGCTGGCGACTTTAAAAATCAAGGGATTCGTGAAGCTGAGAAGTAGGGGTGGCAAAAAAAAAAAAAAGGAAACTTCCACAGTTTGTTTTTGTTAGTTAATTTTAGGGCAGCAGAAGTGTCATACACTGCTCCAAACGATTGCAAGTAATTTTCTCAGATGTCAGCGATCATACTAGTGCTCACAATTATGGGGTAGTATACACGCATGAGTAAGTGAACAAAACTTGCCATCCCGTGAGTAGTAGACGCTTTTCCGCACAGCACCAGTGTGATGTGGTGAAGGTGGTTTAAGCAGCGTTCTGCAAGGGTTAGATCAAGGCCAATAAATGTTCTAACGTCGTTACAGCCCCCCTCCTTTTTTTTTTATCATTGAGCTTAGGTTTAAGGCACAACACCTCGGCTTGACTATAGCATTAATGAAAGGGTGGTAGGCATCGTAATTAAACTGAATAAGAGATACAAGATGAAAGTGGTACAGGCTTACGTGCCTACATCCAGCTATGATGACGCTTCAGTTGAAAGCTTCTATGAAGACGTGGAATCGGCAATGAGTAAGGTAAAAACACAGTATACTATACTGATGGGAGACTAACGCAAAGGTAGGGAAGAAGCAGGCTGAAGACCAGACAGTAGGAGAACATGGTGTCGATACTCGGAACCCCAGAGGAGAGCTACTAGTAGAATTCGCAGAACGCAATAATTTACAGATTTTGAATACCTTCTGCCGAAAACGAGGAAACCGCAAGTAGACATAGAGGAGCCCTAATGGCGAAAATAAGAACGAAATAGACTTTATAATGAGTGCACAACCAGGCATCGTGCAGGATGTGGAAGTGATTGGCAAGGTACAATGCAGTGGCCATAAAATGGTACGGTCTCGAATTCGCCTAGACTTGAAGAAGGAACGACAAACTGATATGCAAGAAGCCCATCAATGAGCTAGCACTGAGAGGGAAACTACAGGAATTCAGAGTCTTGCTTCAGAACAGGTACTCGGCTCTTAGTGAGGAAACCAACCTTAGCGTAGATACAATGAATGATAATCTGACGAGTATCATTACGGAGTGTGCAGTGGAAGTTGGAGGCAGGGTAGTTAGACAGGACACTGGCAAGCTTTCCCAGGAAACGAAGAATCTCATTAGGAAGCGTCAAACCATGAAAGTCTCAAGTACAACAGACAAAATAGAACTGGCAGAGCTTTCGAAGTTGATTAATAGACAGAAGGTATGCGATGCACGAAGGTATAACATGGAGAGAATTGAACACGCTCTGAAAAACGGAGGAAGCATCAAAGCAGTGAAGAGGAAACTCGGGATAGGCAAAAATCGGATGTATGTATTAAAGGACAAAGAACGCAAAATAACTACCAATATGGATAGGATAGTTGAAATAGTGGAGGAGTTTTATAGAGATCTGTACAGTAGCCGGGACAACCACGACCTTAATACCATAAGAACTAGCAGTAACCAAGATGACACCCCACCAGTAATGATAGAAGTCAGAAAAGCTTTGGAGAGCATGCAAAGAGGCAAAGCTGCTGGTGAAGATCAGGTAACATCAGATCTGCTGAAAGATGCAGGACAGATTGCGTTAGAAAAACTAGCCACCCTGTTTACGAGGTGTCTCCTGACGGGAAGAGTACCAGGGTCATGGAAGAATTCTAACATCTTAATACATAAGAAAGGAGATGACAAGGACATAAGAAAGGAGATGACAAGGAGATGACCGTTGCGATCAGCAGACCAATGGGCGCACGGCTTTGTTATTTTATTTGGTCAATCGCGTCTTGAGAGTGCCCTGACCTAATGGGATTAAGGTTGGCGTGGTTAGCTTATCATGCTTTAAGATTCTGGGCGCTTAGAATGATTGATGACTCAAACTGCAGGTGGGCAATGTATGTGGCTTCCATATTGTGCTGAAATTATCGCAACTGAGAAAATTTTGAGGCTGGTCGGTCAATTTGGCGCAGCTGTTGCACACCTGATAGACGTATTAGAGAAAGGGCTACCATCCAACGGTAACCTTACGAGGAACCACTGTTATTGAGGTTTACCACAGCATTTCGCTTAGTTCACCTGAATGGTCTGTTGAGGGTATTGATTGACCAGAACATGCGTTTGTAAGGGCCGTGCCGGTGACTGTACAGGCTTGTCTGGAAACTGTATCTGACATTGCTCCAGTGGATTGATGCCGAACATCACTGCAGGCAAGGTTCCTTGATATGACGACACCACTGCCGTGGCCTGCACTTGAGCTGGTCACAAAAGAACCAGAAAAAAAGTTTTAATTTCATCCGAAGCACACAAGAAGTGCAGAATACCTCATGTGAAACACAAGAATATGAATATTGTCATCACATGCAAAGCTGGAGCTTAGTAGTTCATGAGGTTTGATGCCCCAAAATCACGATATGATGATGAGAGACATTGACATAGAGGACTCCAGAAATTTTGATTTAAATGTACACTTAAATCCAAGTACATGGGCCTTGAGCACTTTTTCTTCCATCGAAAATACGGCCGGGATTCAATGCTGCGACTTGCAGATCAGCAATAGAGTATTATAACCACTAGACCACCGTGACGGGTGAAGTTGACGCTTGGTAAGCCACATGAACTGTGGTCTTTTTTTTAACTCCTGACTTTCCTACCCTGGATTACAAGCACCACTGATCACGCACAGAACGCAGCACCTGAAATAATCATAAGAAAGCACCCGTCAGACATGATTCACAACAGTCCTTCACCGTGGTAAAAACAGCATGCCCATCGCGCTGCACTTAAAAAATGTACCCTATTCAGTTCTGGACAAGGAGCAACATCATGTGCAAGAAGGCAGCAGTTTAAAATTAAACTCTACAGTTTAACATACTTAAACTATCATATGACGAGCTTGCTGTAATGAAGAGACTACAGACTCATTTTTAATATTAATTAATCTTTTCCATCCCCTTGACGAGTCATCACGACACTTTTTTGTCGAAATTACCAATGACGACAGTATATAGGTCGTATGAGCTCTACATCATCTGCAAAGAGCATTTGCACCAGAGTCACCACTGTAAAGATCCACACTCCCATTGCATGCTCTGTGTCTGAGATCCGTAAGGTAACTTCAATGACTAGAGACCTCCAGAAAACCGCCTGCACACCTATGCATGGACAGCACAGATGGTGCATTTAAACGGATCTTCAAAATGGCACGTTGACGGTGTTCCAGTCTTGCAGATAAAGGCTCGGTGCACACCCCCTATAGTTGTCATCAAAAAATTATTGGTCCCACGTCGAACCAATGACTACCACACTCATAGCTGTATTAGTGAGAACAAACAATGATGCCAAGAAAAGTGTCGGGGATGTCAGAAGTGATTTTAATGTAAATGTAAAGAAAGAAAAGTGGGCGAAAAGATAACTTGCCACCAATAGGACAATAGGAACCGAGGCTCTCACGTTTCAATGCACATATACACACAATAAACTGTACAGAGGGATGACTGCCACCGTAGCTCAGCGGTAGAGCATCAGATGCATTATTCGAAGGTTGCAGGTTCAGTCCCTGCTGGTGCAGTAATCTATTCATCCACTTCTTATTTCTTCCCATTTACATTAAAATTACTTCTAACTACATCCCCTATACTTTCCTTGGCATCATTGTCTGCTAGTTCTCACTGATACTGTGTCCAACAAAGATAACAAGCCCCTAAATTTACCCTTCTTTCCTTCATCACAGCTGTGTTTCTGACGCTAGATGGCTAGTTACACTTGTGTCTCGGGTATTACCTGATTGCCACCTATCAATGTATTACCATGCCATCTAATGGTGAAGCCATCTTAGCACACAAATTAGTGAAATAAAGAAAGCTCACTAAATTAAAATAACAGCATTTTATAGAGGAGAAAAAACTACAATTTGTGCCCAAAAAAATGTCCAGTAGACTTTGTACAGCAGAAAAAGTACATAAGAATTAGCCAAGGTCCCCAGATTACTAAGACATTATCATGACATTAATTAGGAAAAAGTTTAAATGCTGTAAGAAGACAATAAAAACAGGCATACAGACACACGAGCAAAGAACTTCGTGTGTGCATCTGTGCTATTCCAGTTTTTGTCATGTCTTTACACGCACATTTCAAAACTTTGTTGAATTTACGGTCTAACAACATGCCTTTGCTTCATAGCATAAGATTTGCAGAACCTAAAATTCAGCATACAACAGATGCCGCGGCAATGTTGCTGTGGCAAACTCGCCAGATGATGGAATAAACAAAAAAAAGGAACCAAATTGTAACAGAAGCTGGCCGAAGTGCCAAAAACAAATTTTGCCAGCAGCTTATCCACCTAACGGCTGACCAACGCAAACGAACTGCCACCACCCTAAATCACAATGTGGAAGTTCGATGCACATATTCGCAGTTAAAAGGTTATTCTGCTACCAGCCTCCCCGTTTACCATTCACAGGTAGCATGACAGATGTTTCAAGCATAGACAGGCTATCCTACTTTGGTAAGCTTGTCGATAAGCTTCATGCTGCGGCACATTGAAAACAATGCATGTTTGATAGGTTTATCCGCCAAGCTGCTACCTCAAGCCGCTTGCAAAACCATCGTTTGGCTTAGTAGACAAAAGAATGTACCGGTAGTTTGCTTTTAGGTGACTCAGCCGGAAGAACACAAAAAATCCTAGCAGCAAGAAGTGAACATTACACAACATCAAAAATGACATATGTGAAGGCAGGATATGTGCAACGCGATGTAGACGCCGGAAATAAATGTGCGATAGTTTCCAGGACACACCAACCTCGTCGCAACAGCAGTTATACGTAACCATTTCTTTTGTTCGGTCGTATTCCTCTGTCGTTATTCGACAGGCCGATGCTAGTGATAACAAAGGCGCGGAGCTAAGATCACTGTTGAAGCAGAAAAGGAAAGAGATTGGAATCATTCACTTTATTTTAACAGTCCACATTACCTTAATTTATATAGATAGAGAATGTGGAGCGATAGTACATACTCATGTTGAATTCCATTGCCCTTGACAGTCTTGACGGGTGTGCCAGCTCAGAGAACTTTTGCGCGCCAACAGGCTAGGCAAACCACGCAACAAATTCGCAAATTGAGAACGATCCCGCCAAATGAGCGACTGAGTCACAGAATGACTGAGTTTCCGCGCGAACGGCAAAACGCGCCAAAATGTGATGACACATAGTTGCCAGATAGTCAAAAAAGAACCACGACGCCTGTGGCGCCGAAAGCGTTTTCGATTACTCATGAATATGGGCTGCGATTTATAGCGCTTGTTGAAAAGTGATCACACTTTCTGGACTAAATACTTTATATGTCACTGATCTTGTCAATAAAAAGGTCTCTTGCAAGATCTGTGGCAGGGCGGCTTATATTTAGAAGCACCATAGAGAAATAAAAAAAAAGGTTAAGAGTGGACACTCCCGTAGACCCCAGCGGCCCAATCGACCCTAGCACACCTGGTGGTTGGTGAAAGCAAGTGGCGTGCGCTTTCTGTTTCGGTTTCACTGGCGCAAATTTTGAATTACTTTGCGTAACCGACGTTTGGCTATGACGAAAGTTCATGATTTTAGACCACTTTTCATCGCCCAAATGGATAGCTTTTGTAGGTCGTTTTGATTTAGCGATTCCCTGTTTTGTTTTGTTCAGTGGTTCGTGCGAATTGGTCGTGACGTAATTTTTATTTCGATTAAGTTATAATAAAAAGATATGCAGGTAATGATAATTCACTACGGTTTTATTCATCGTGCTTGTGTTTTTCTAATGGAACAAGTGATCAATGTATATATCAGTCAAAGAGACAGAGTATCCGCAATGTTTTATTCAAAGGCAAGGTAGAGTCTGAGAATATCAAAAGCACAATATGACAGAGGTAGACAACAAATGCATCTCGCCTTACAAATAAATTGTAACAAATATTGTAACAAATACAGAGAGAACACAGGCAACGCACACATCGCTAGAGTTGGCAGAAGCCGAGAAGCTGGTGAAGTATGACGCACCGGGCCAGTGGGTAAGTAAGGATCTATGGCAAAAACACAGCGCACAATGCTGATGAAGAAGGAAGAAGGACATATACACAGCAATGAAGTCGTGAATCACGCCTGGGGTTAACAGATATAATGCATAGAAAAAAAGAGCGCACAGAAACCACACGACACAATATAGCAGAAAGGCAAAGGTGCAGTGTGCTGGCGTGCTTAAGAACAGCTAGCCCAAATTGAAAAAAAAGCAGACTTGATGCCTGCTTGTCCTCAGAAAGGTAGGGCGTTGCAGCTTGCTCACTAGGTGAAAGACAAACTTTATGCTACAACAATGGCAGGTCTTGTGGCTCTTCTTATGCGTCGCCTTCATCAAAAACTTAAGATCCCAAGTGATTTGCGTCTGGGTGTTGCTGTGACGCTTGCGAGCTAAAATAGATAGTAGTCATCACTTATCCAGAATTGTGGACCTTAATTGGTGCTACGAGAGCAGTATTACAGGGCTAATAAATAGCAGAAGGAAACCACTTTGGCTCATTATTTTTCACAAAGGCTCTACATCGTACGTTATCACTCACAAGCTATATAAAAATAAAATGGCAGCGTCCGCAGCCCCATCAAACGCTACAAGTATGGGTATTCTTTTGAAAATTTTGATGGGCGAGATGAGGAGGTCGATGAGAAGCTAAAATACGAAAAGCGTGATAACGTGAACTGCGCTCGAAGACATTTCAACAAGCGGTTTTGTTATCGATATATTACTTGAGCTGGAGAGTTAAAGCATACACAGTGACCAAGCGACCCACAGTAAAGTGTACAATTCGCCCGCATTTGCTACAAAAATACAGACAGGATACCCAACATTCTTTTTAAGGTTATGCAAATCACTTCGAGCGAATATACAGTGTCCCTACTCCTCATAGCGGGTAACCAAAACAATGTATGCAACGGAGTGGTTAGTCCAGTTGAACTGAATATAAGCATATAAGACCATAATGAAGTCTGCTGTAACAAAGTAATAACATAACAAAGCTATTGCAGGATTCGGTTCAACTCGAATACTTTAGTGTAAACCCGCCGCTAATTGCTAACCTTTGAACTTGTCAAGCTGTATGCCTGAGATTGAAGACTGGAACCTCGAAGTTTGTTTGAGTCCCACCTTAATTAGCATTGTATACCAATCCTCTGTTTTTGTAACAACTTTTTGTACCCGAGAAGAAGAGCCATTTCATCTGTGTTGAATTGTACAGTTGTTGTAAACCATGTATCCTTTTTATGCACTGTAACCCACCTGCTAAAATCCCTATCAGGGATTGCAGTATTTATAAATAAATAAATAAATAACCCTATCTAAGTTTCGGTTCACCAAAACGCACATGCCAACGAACCCGGCAAAACATTTTCAGAAACTTCGCGCGACACCCAGCAGAGCAGAAATGAAAATGCCAACACTTAACAGATGGTGATACAAAGCATCGCACACTTTCAAGTGATGTGCAGTGGCCTCAATCATGGCAAGAAAGTGAGATTCAAGTTGTTGTACGTATGCAAAAGCTGCTTCTGATGGCACAGTGAGATTCCCAAAAAGTTTGCTGGGGACGTGGTATGCTTTGAGCATTGTGAAATACTGGTGGGTACCCTTAAGCATCTCACTGTCGTCTTTCAGTAACTGAGGGCAACTGCAACCGTCACATGCATTCCGAAAAAAGTGATTGATGAGAAAACCAGCTACATAATATGCAGCGGAGTCATCGATAATATGGGAGTGAATGTTGGTCGCAAGTTCAGAGAGATCGTCTAGAGCGGGAAAGTCGTCAGGCTGTGGCTGTGCACACTCCTCATTATCCACAAGAGACGCACTGGTGAGGGAGAATGGCGAGAGCTGCTCCTGCAGGAGGTCACATTCATTATCCTCGACATTTCCGTATTCTGACAGCTTGAAGAGTTTTCTTATGCAGATGTGCTTCAGGCCACAAATAAATTGTGCTACGTTGGGGTTGGTGTTGCAACCCTGTTTTTGCCTAATGTGGCCAAATATGTTCTCCAGAGGATCCTGTTGAAGCCTGCGTGTTAACAGGTATTCAAAATTGTAATTTTTGGAGAGGTCGTCCCATAGTTGACAAATAGCCTGAATTGTAATTTGCCAACCTACGATGGTTTGTGGTTGACGTCAGCTAACAAACTGCCATGATGCAATCCAGGGAAGCTGGCCTCGGAGGAAGTCAATCAGCTCTGAATCATTTTTCATGATTGCATGTCGCAGCTTTTGCGAAGTTCTTTTTTTACTCGAGCTGTTCAAGGCATCGAAAATCCTGTCCATACGATCACAAAATTGAGCTGTAGTGATGGCCGAGGCAGGCAGCACCTTCGCATACACCATTGCCGTGATAGCAATAAAAACTGATGCACTGAGGACCTGAGTTGCTCTGCTGACCTTCATATTAGAAAAAGGTTTCTGATGAACGTGCCGTTCAGTCAACTTTGGAGCCAATCGCAACCGCAACTCATGTGAGGATTGGTAAAGACTTACAATGTGCGACCAGTTAACGATGTCATCCCCAATGTATAACTTGTGTGCTTGGACATTATTGCGCGTTGTTTTAATTAAATGCAGAACATCAAAAATGTACATCAAAATTTTCAGCATGTACTATATGTGCCGAAGTGTGCTGCTATTTCAAAATATGATGCAAAACACGGTTTTAATTCATGGCCTTGTGAGAGAGCTTTAAAATGCTTATTCTGATTATGGACTGAAGTTTTTTAGCAGTTTTTTATTTGTTCTTTAAAGCCGTGCTCACTTGGTTTAGTAAATATGCTTGGTCAATATGAATTTTAAAAGCTTGGCATGAGCATTCTGAATATCTTTAAATATAAAAACCAAAGCAAATTTCTAAATTGTAATTTTTATTGACATCTCAAGAATAACATGGTCAGGCGACTAAAGTACGTGCCACTTCTGGATGGAAATTACATGTTGAAGAATGGTTGTGAAATGTACAAAGACGATATTGGTTCTCCTTGCACCATCAGCTGTTGCAAGATCTGCGAGCTGCAAAGGTGAACACACTGTAATGTCAACAGGGCCATGTGCATGCACTGGTACAAGTCTGTTCAGCTGTGCTAGGGAGGACAAAAAACAATTTTATTTAGTCGTTAACGCACCAACAACAGAAATGAAGGCCAAAGATCAGCTCCACCAGTGTAAGAAGGTTCCTAGGAGCCTGTATATCCGCATTCACTCCTTTTTACTTGATCGTAATTGCTTATTCTTTTGCTCTATTTTTGTGTGCATTTACCTGCCAGGCAATCGTAATCTAAAATGAGTGTAATACTTTGGTGTTCTAGCACTACCAAAAAAGAAGGAATTAGGTAGGGAACTAGTGAGGGCAGCACTCGTAGCGTGTCCATGGGTCTGTGCACACAAAACGAAAATTGGCCTAGTTGGTACCTTGCATGTGTACTAGTATTAGTTGCTCCTTTCCAGCTTTCACTGTGACAGTCTGCTGTGTGTTCCACGGAGGCTTTTCAATTTTTGTTACAGTGGAGCAGCGCTCTTTCAGCGAAATGTTCTCCCGTGAGGTGTTCACAAAAACTCTATAGGTATGCACCCAAAAAAAGCAAATATGTGCCAAGCAGCTCTCAGCATAGCATAGCTTCGCATAGTGTATAGTATAGCAAGGGGTGGGAAATGGATAAGAGGGTGAGGAATGATCTTTGGAGTAGGGAGCATAAAGTATAGCATAGTCTATCATAGTATAAGAGGCTGGAAGTTACGAAGTCGCCCCCTAATGGATCCGTCTCGCTTGCGTACTAGGTAGGACAGTGTTTGCACACTCTTCATAAATTTCACTATCAGCGCTTTATAAAAAGTCAGTTTTGCCAAAAGGGCAAAGCACTGAATGCGATTCGAATGCACTGCCAAAAGGGCAAAGCACTGAATGCACTGAATGCGAATGCACTGAATGCAACATATTCGAATGTTTCATGAAGCAAGGTTAGCATATTTAGGAGCAACATTAATTGTAGTAAACATGCGCTTGTCAAGTAACCAAGTTGCCTGCGACGTGGTCACAGTAGATGACCACAACAAGGCTCGTGCATAGTGACGGCAATGAAGAGAAGCGCCTCCTGTGGACAGCGCATGCTTGTATTAAAGGCTATACGT